AAATGATTCTATAGAATTCTAAATGATTCCACAGAACCCTAAATAATTCTATAGAATTCTAAATGATTCTATAGAATTCTAAATGATTCCACAGAACCCTAAATAATTCTATAGAATTCTAAATGATTCTATAGAATTCTAAAATGATTCCATAGAAGCTTAAAAATTTTCATAGAATTCTGAATAATTCCATAGAATTCTAAATTAATCTATGGAATTCTACATAATTCCATAGAACCCTAAAAAATTCTATAGAATTCGAAATGATTCTATGGAATGCTAAATGATTCTGTAGAACCCAAAAAAATTCCATAGAATTCTAAACAATTCCATAGAATTCTACATGATTCTATAACATTCTAACTGATTCCATAGTACTTGAAATAATTCCATAGAATTCTAAATGATTCCATAGAACCCTAAAAAACTCCATAGAATTCAAGATGATTCTATAGAATTCTACATGATTCCATAGAACCATAAAAAATTCTATAAAATTCTAAATGATTCTGTAGAACCCGAAAAAATTCCATAGCATTTTAACTGATTCCATAGAACTTGAAATAATCCCATAGAATTCTAAATAATACCATAGAACCCTTAAAAGATTCAATAGAATTCTAAATGATCCTGTAGAACCCCCCAAAAATTCCATAGAATTCTAAATGATTGCATAGAAGTCAAAATTATTCCATAGAACCCCCCAAAATTCCATAGAATTCTAAACAATTCCATAGATTTCTAAATGAGTCTATGGCATTCTAACTGATTCCATAGAACTTGAAATAATTCCATAGAATTCTAAATGAATCTATGGAATTCTTTAGAATTCCATAGAACCCTAAAAAAATTCTGTAGAATTCTAAATGATTCTGTAGAACCCTAAAAAAAGTTCATAGAATTGTAAATGATTCCATAGAACCATAAAATATTCTATCGAATTCGAAATATTTCCATCGAACCCTATAAAGTTCTATCGAATCCTAAATGATTAAATAGCACTGAAGTAATTCCGTAGAATTCTCAGTGATTCCATAGAATTCTGAATGATTCCATAAAACCCTAAATGATTCCGTAGAATGCTACATAATTCCATAGAACCCTAAAAAATTCTATAGAATTCTAAGTGATTCTGTAGAATTCTAAATAATTCTATAGAATTCAAAATGATTCTGTAGAATTCTAAATAATTCCATAGAATTTGAAATGATTCTAAACATACCTAAATAATTCTATATAACCCTAAATGATTTTATACAATTCTAAATGATCCTTTAGAATTCTAAATGATTCCATAGAATTCTAAATAACTCTTTACAACCCTAAATACTTCATAGAATTGTAAATAATTGTTTTTACACTCGTGAACACCGGATGGCACTGAGCCAGGCCAAGCCGTTGTCAATGGAGAAACCGAACATCCCCGATGAGCTCCACAGGAGGAAGAGGGGATGCAGGGCAGGAGTGAAGCGTCAGGAGAAGAGAAGATGCTACAAGCCGTCCGTCCCGTCCATCATCATGGGAAACATGAGTTCTGTCCCTAACGGGCTGGAAGAGCTGACAGCTAACAGTTAACACTCAGCATGTATGTGAATGAGAGATGGTGTAATGCTGGCACGTTAGTGTTAAACAGCATTGCTGCACGAAGGATGCTGAACTGCTGGCGGTTGGATTGCTGGGTTTCACCTGCCGAGGGAGTTTTTGCACATCCTGCCGATTGCAGTTTGCAGCCCCCCCTCGGCTGATGCTGCTGCAGCCTTTGAGCTTGTTCAGTGTCCCAGCTGCAAACATCAGTCTCTGATCGTCATCTCAGAAGACTTTAATCATACATCGCTTTCTACCACTCTCCCCACATTCAGCCAGTATGTGGACTTGGACCTACTGTGTGCAGACAGCAGGATGTATATTACTTAATTATTGTCATTTTCTTGTACTTTCTCTATTTTTGGATGCTGCTGTGGCATGTAAATTTCCCAGGTCTGGGATAGATAAAGTCTATTCTATTCTATTCTATACTGATCATCTGTGGCTTTGGGGCAGCCGGTCAGACAAAAAGACATTAAAAGACCATGGCCTTATATTAGACAACTATTTAGTGAAAAAAATATTGTCACATTCTTGGACAATGAAAACCATTGCAGCATTTTTAAACGATTCTACATACTTGGCAGTAGTGCCAGTTCGCATCCCAGTGAAGACACAGAGGATCTGTCTGCGTGGAGTTTGCATGTTCTCCTCATGCAGCATGGGTTCTCTCCAGGTTCTCCGGCTTCCTCCCACAAGGTCCAAAAACATGTTGAGGTTAATTGGTGATTCTAAATTGTCCATAGGTGTGAATGTGAGTGTGCTTGGTTGTCTGTCTCTAAGTGTAGCCCTGTGATAGACTGGTGACCTGTCCAGGGTGTCCCCTGCCTTCACCCTAAGTCAGCTGGGATAGACTCCAGCCCCCCACGACCCTAGTGAGGATTAAGCGTTGTATAGATAATGGATGGATGGAAATTCTCATCTCTTCCAACTCTTATTTGCTCAGCAAATTTCCCAGTTGGAGGCAAACCAACTCAAGCAACAAATGTTTTTCCGTACTGTCCCTTTAAAAGCACTAAGGAAGAAAATGGGGTGTTGTTTTAATTCATTTTGAGGGACAAACGGGCTTTAATCAAAGCTTAATGAGGCCTTTTACTCACTAATGTGCTCCATTCAGCCTCATTACGAAACACCAGTTCACAGCTGCAGAGTTTCACTTTCACCTGATCAAGCTGAAACAAAGGCGCAGAGACTGTCGTTTGACAACATAAACAGGGGACTTTTATTGATCAGTTCATTCTTTACATTTTGTATCCGTTTCTATCGCTATACATTCAATAAATCCTCTCTGGTGAACCGCATCCACACAGTCAGATTACCTTTGTGTCCACTCAGAAGATTAGTGTTACAGTCATTTTTTTATCTTTGAAAAACACCTCCTACCGCGGTTCCTTATGTATTACAGTATTTCTGGTGTAGTGCACATACAAAGGAATGGCTTTGGGTAGACTGAGGTGGACGGATTTAGACGCGTTATGGCCTTGTTTTCTTTAGATTTTCGTTTTTTTTTTTTTTTAGTAACAAAAACCACACATTTCTTGCTATACCTAATTCATAAATACAGTATATATTATAAGCATTCATCTTGTGCTAAAGTCAAAGCTGTGCTGCAGTTTAAAAAAAATCTCCACATCAATAACGTACAGGAAAATGAGCTCGCCTGTATAGATTGTTTACAATATAATGTTTACAGTGATTTTACAGTGTTTTTAATGTCCCTGATTATCTCAGAACCATAGCATTTTATTTTTTTATATTACAGGAGAGAAACAGAACAAGCATTTATCAGAGTGTGTGTTTACAGTTACTGGGGATTGAGAGGGGTGTGTGTGTGTGTGTGTGTGTGTGTGTGTGTGTGTGTGTGTTATTGTGTGCACTAGCGTTTGTGTGTCTGTACTAAAGCCTGGAGAAACAGAGACATTTAAAACAGGAAAGAAGATGAATCCTTATCGACAGAGCCATGTGTTGATGACGTAAACGGCTCTTTTACGTACATAATTAGTCAGTCATTCATTGGTTATATAGTTGGGTGCCATGGTTACCAATCACGTGTACAATAAAGAACACAATACCACGGAAGTCAACACCAATCTCACTGCCAGCAATCTACCTGCATATTCCTCCTTCGTCTTTCACTGTGTGTGCAGTCTACAGGAGTATGAGGCAAACCGTTACATTAATAAACAACAAAATCAATTAAAATGATAATGGAAGGAGAACACAACCAAAAAAGAGACAATATATTCTTTTTTTTAGAGTGGACGGGCACACAGAATGTTGAATATATTACATCGATGTGCGGACGGTCCGATCATCAAGGAGACAAACGCTTTAGAAGTTCAGTGTCTCTGACATCATCTTCCACCAGTCCATCAGTTCCTCCCGCTCCTCCTCCTTCCTCTCCATCAGAGACTCCAGCTCAAAGTCCACCTGGGATTCAAGCAGAGCGTGGACACCCATTAGAGGTTAGAAATAAAAGATGCAGCAATTTCATTTGTTCCGCACAAAATATGCATGTGTTTTTTTTGTTGTTTTCAGTCTTAAGTTTGGGATCAGTATATGTGTTAAAATAATCCTAATAATTCAAGGAACACATAACACTTCTACATTTTATCAGTTTGCTCTGGTGTGACTGTGTAGCTTAAATATTGATCATTGATTGTGCAGTAACTGTTGGTCACATATCGAAGATGTCATATCGCCTGTGTTGACTTAAGGATAATCTTTGCAATCGGATGTAATTGGCCTCTTTGTTCTCTCATACTGA